GTTTCTCCGACCTTCAGAAGGCCCAGAGGACGGCCAACCTGGTGCAAACATATGGACGGAGTCTATTCCAGACTCAGGTTTTTTTCTGCCGAAGCTCAGACTGTGGCACAGGATCGAGAACGATGGAAGCTCTGTCTGACTCGTCTGCCTCTGCGACTAGGAAGGAGAAACGGCGACGAAAGATGAAGAAAAAGAAGATGCGAAGGTATCTATGCGCTGCTGTTTTGAAAGCAGTGCAATATTCACAGGAAAACTTATTATTCCTCTACCCTGATATTTCTTTAAATGGTGCAAAAGCAGAGTTGATACTCTAAAGAAATATTCTCTCTGATTTCTTTCTTAGAATGTTTATGCAGCCGGCATAGTATAGAGTGGATGCTATGAATATAACTTCCGGACGAAAGTGTCAGCATGACTTCGAGAAATAAAAAATGCTCCAAATGGAACTGGAATATTGAATAATTTGCATTTAAAACCGTCTATGAGCTAATGAGGTGACTGAAGACGATACCAGTAACGAAAACCCCCTTTTGGTTTCAACCACAACCTGACTTACGATTCTGAGGTAGGGATCCATCCATAGGTTCAGTCTTTGCTTAATGGCGAAAGTTTACGGTAATGGCATTTTATTGAAAACCGTCGACGTGTGAGCAGGTGCCATCGATCGGCATTTAGGAATCGAACAGCAAAGTAATTGAAAGACACCCGTCTGTCAACAAGAAGGGTTCTTTTTAAATTTCTTGCATAAAGTTTCACCTTCACGGAAATATCTATTTAAACTCGTTAAGATCGGTTTCGAGAAGGACTCTGAGGAACGGACAAGTTAAAGCAATGACTAGCAAGCATTTATTAGCTTGACTTGAAAACAACTGTCTAATTCAGGCAGTTGTGAAAAGAGAGTTTTGATTCCTGTGTCTGTAGCTTTACTTCATTGTGAAATGGCTGTTTTTGTTCTGTGCGTTTCGAATTGCCTTAACGTTAGAGAGTTACCGCTTCTTGCTAAATAGTCATCTTTTACCTCAGGCCGGTTTCATGTCCCGTAAAATTAGTGATTCTCTTTACTTCTAAAATTTGTCTGCAATCGATCAGCATCGAAGAAACTAAAAGCATATGGAACAAATTCTTGACGCACGTCGGAACTTCCATTAGTGTGATTCTGATTTTTGCTCGAAGAAGAATCCAATAATACCAGAATTGCTTCCCCATTTGCCACCGTAATCACATCTGCTTTGGAACTGCTCGCGGAAGTCAGTAGTGGTTAGCAATCAGACATCCTGAGCTGTCAGCAATTCTAAATCGCCCAAAATTACTTCGACCTGCCATCGTCAACAGTGCAGCATTTATCAACATAAGTTGTACTTTCGCTAGCAAATGACAATGTCTTCTGATAGCTAAATTCAATTGTAGAGCACCGTAGTGATCTCGAGGCTTTTCCCTGCTCGATGAGGATTAAAACTCCTGAAACGTCAGTTCTTCTGAATCATTAACTAAATAATCATTAACTCATTATTTAACTTAAAACTTAGCAATCTTCCCTTCATACTATTGTAGTTATCAAAGTTCACACATGCTCGCTGATCGCCCTGGTTAACAACGGCGTAAATGGTTGCTAAAGTACCGAAGCAGGCTGTTTAATCTCCTCGAAAAGAATCTGCTTCACGATTTTCTGACAGCTGGAGGGAGCTAACAAAACAGCAAAATTTCATTCCATGTTTTGAACCTAAAATTTGAAACAAATTTTTTATCATTTACCAAAGCGTTGCAG